AGACTATGGTTAGCATTTTTTAGCAATCACGTATTTTTTAAGTAAACTCTAGGCCCAACATGGGGCTTGAACTCACCACCTAAGGTAAAAAGTTGTGAGCTTTACTGACTGAGCCAGCCAGGCACCCCAGCAATAAAGTATATATTTTTTAAACTAATGTATGTACATTGTTTTTTTAGACATAATGCTATTGCATACTTACTGGATTGCAATATAGTATCAACTTAACTTTTATGTGTATTGGGAAACCAAAATAATTCATTTGACTTTTTTTGTTGTGATATTCACTATGTCATTGGCGGTCTGGAACTGAACCAGCAATGTGTCTGTGGTGTCCCTATCGTTAACATTCAGTAAATGGTACATATAAAATAGCGATCTAAATAGGGCCTCCAGAAATGGTAATATTAATTCGTCCCTAGAATTCGATGTCTCACACCCCTGAAGACTGAGGAAATTGCATTTATCACAAAAGAGTCACAGTTGAAATGCTCGAGAAAAGAATATAAGAGATGTTGGCAAATTTTCCAAACATAAAACAGGTAGGGTGTGAGATGTATAGATCAGGAAGTTTGACTTCATTGCATAACACAATTCTGGAACTATAAATTAAGCAGATGGTTTGTGATCCTTTAGTAAAGACTGTAGTGGTTGCTAGGAGCCACCATGGGTTTACTAAGAACATATCTTCCCAAACGTTCCATTTCCCTTTTAAATAGTATTATGTAGTGTGTAAAACTGAGGAGTGCCATTTCAGCAAGGAATTTAATTTTCTCCTTATGGATAAGACGGTAAAATATGGGCTTGATGATGGTCCTGCTGGGTTAACGGCTTGAAAGCAGTGGAAGCCAGCTGACTCGTGTCATGGTTATCTTGATGGGGGTCTCTGGTATAACACCAGAGGGCAGCTCTGATGAGTAACCTTCCCATTTCAGACTTGAGGAATTTGGATCAAGACTTATGGGTTGAGGGGCACTCAGGTGCCTTAGTCAGTTAAGTCTCTGACTCTTGATTTCAGCTCAAGTTATGATTTCAAGGTTGTAAGGTCTAGTTCTATATCAAGCTCTGGTGGACGTGGAGCCTGCTTTAAGACTCTTTCTCTCCCTCCCTCTGTGCCCTTCCCCACTCGCACATGCGCACTCTCTTGCTCTCTCTCTCTCTCAAAAAAAAAAAAGATATATGGGATGGATGTGTACCAACAAAATATGTAAAGGGCCCAAAGTTGGGAGAGACAGTAAATATAATAGATGGGAAGATAAAAACTCAAAATAGTCTTAATCATCTGAAGCACCACATGGAACCCCAGAAAATTGAATTTAGTGAAGCTAAAGGTGAAGACTTGAAGCTCAAAAGCTCAAGACTGAATAAGAAAGGAGATCTTTTTCAGTAGAAGTTCAGGTAAAACTGATCTGGTCATTTAATTGACCCAACACTTGATATCCATCCATCCATCCATCCATCCATCCATCCATCCATCCATCCCTTCATTCAACAAATGTGTATTGCAAGTATTTATCACCTTTGCACTTTTCTTGGCATCAGGGGAATGGTAGTGAGCAAAAGAGTTAAAAATCCCCACCTCCATGGAACTTACATTCTTTAGATACCAACAGTTGAGCAACTGCTTTTAAAATAAAATGAACCTAATATTAGGCTTTATTTGCAAAAGTATAACATCAGTTCATGATGGTGAATAGTTTACCTCTCTTATTTAATACCCTATTCTTGGTGCTATAATTTACACCGGGATCACTGCTCTTAGTTCTGGACCAATGAGTGGCAGTAGTGGGATGAGAGGAATAGAAACCCCAGTGGAGGAGGACTGGTCGACCAGAAGGAGAGAACACTAAGCGGACGCTGTATCCCTCCAGTGTTTGCGGGAGTACAAGAAGAGGCTGTCCCCATGTTATCGGTCACTCCCAGGAGTCACCACTCATTACAAGGAGGCTGATTCCTGGTACATATGCGAAAGGCTGGTTTTGGCTGGGCAGTGTCCTTACTGTAGCTGGAAGGCCACCTGTGTGAGCTCCACGAGGGCTGACCTAGCGCTCTTGGGACTGCTGGTGCAGTGCCTGGTATGCGGGGGTGCCCAGACGTGTGTAGGGAGATGTTCCTCTGACGCTTGTGGAGACAACCTAGGTACCCCATGCTAAAACTTGAAACTCGGTTTTTGTATATCTTAAAAGAGTCTGAGGGCGGAATAATGTACCTAGGAACAGCTGTTGGGGGCCAGAATGTTTTCTTCTATCGCATTCTAACATCCACAAGTTAGTTAAACCACTTTTCTTAAGACACATTGCAGAGGCCATGTGAGGATTTCTCTGTGGTTTCTGCAGTCTGCTTGTTCAGGCGTCACTCATCCAGCACGATGCCCATTGTATTCTGAGACCTTTGCTTGTACTTCTGGCTCATCGGGGGTCTTGCTCTTTTCTGAACTTCACAGCAATGCGACAGGAGTTTAGCATTTAATTTTTTCCTAACTTCTGTGTGGGTCTCTCCATCTTTGGAAGGCAAAATCTTATTTTGTATGTTTCTAGTATTCCAGAAACAGAGCTGAAACTCAGTAAATGACAATTGAACAACTGCTTGATTTATTAGTTGAGGGGGAGAGTCAGAAGCAGTATCTTTCTGGCCATTGCAAGGACTCATGTAAGAATGGCAGGTTAAGTAGACTTTAATTTCTCTATCCCTTGCATCCAAAGAAGGGATTATGTTCCTCATTTATTAGAGTCTCCTACTTCAGCTGGACGAGTGCTTTGCACAGAAATGATTCTTTGTATACAGTTGAATCTGTGTTAATGGCAGTACTTCAGGGCTGGAATAACCTTCTTGGCTCAACCTCTGAGGGGAGGGTGGGGGACAGTAGGTACAAATCTCAAAGCTCAGTCTAGAGGCCATGGACTGTGATTCATGTACCCAGCATGGCCAGATTTAGCGCATGAAAGTGCGGGGTGCTCAGACACGTTTGAATGTCAGAGAAGTTCCCTGCAATATTCAGGATGTACACTGAGAAAAGTATTTGTTTATCTAGAATTAAACATAACTAGGTGCCCTGCATTGTATCTGGCAACCCTTTACGTACACCCCACTCTTTCATATCACCCCATAAGTCTAAGCTTTTCGTGAACCCCCAAATTAACCTCACTGAAAGAAAATGTTTGTGCCCCTGGGAATGATACTAAGTGCAAATTTTTAAAAATTAAAAAACTGGGAATTTCCATATGCTGTATGCTTTTTGTGGTCATAATTCTTTCAGGATATCCAATCATGATCATTCCAGAAACATCTAGGATCTCAGCAGTCCTAACTTAATTTGTCATGGTTTCCTTGGTAGCATAGTTTACTTGGTTCCTCTGATATGCTATTATTATATTATCTGTATAATATTATGGAAATTATTTATATAGTTTGGATATTATTTTGCTCAGGTAGCAAAGTAACCACAGCTAACAAGTAAATATTAGGCTGTAGCTCCGTGGACGGGAGTCCTATGAAAAGTGAATTTCATGTCATCTGTTGTCTCTGCTCCTACGAACTCCCGCTAATCAGAACACCTCTGACTAATCAGAGATGTAGAAATCAGAATAAAACACTGCCGCCCTCAGTTACATGTTTTGTTCGCTTTTCTCATCTGCTAGGAGGGAAGATCATATTCTGTTTTGTTCCACCCTATAAACTTCTGTTTGAGGGAAAGACAGCTCACACTTCGGAAAATTGCCTCCATTTTCCCCTAAGTAAATAATGATTCTTGCTCTTGAGTAGGGACAGCCTTTAAATATCATTCATTCATTGAGCCAATATTTATTAAGCAGATGGATGCTAGGAATGAGGGGAAATGAAATAAGTAAGACATAGTCCCTGCTTTCCGGGGGGCCCAAGGGAATCTGCATATGAAATGCTTGCTTTTGTATGATTCAGCAATCATGTCCGTGAGAGGCTGGTGGTAAGAGTTCATTAGCTCGTAGAGTAATGAAATGATTCTTCTTGCAAATGCTTTAAAATAAATAGTGTGCCTTATATTCTGAACAAAAGCTACTCTTAATGGCTAATTCCCAGAGCCTGGTGTTAGGCTGTTTCCCTCTCTCTTAGTTCTGGATTCAGGACTTTGCCACTTGACTCAGACCAGAAGTATCAGCATCCCCTGGGAACTTGTTAGAAATACAGACGCTCAGGCCTGCCCCAGCCCCCACTGGATCCAAATGGGGGGGGGCAGCCCAGAATCCATGTCAACGTGCATGCACACTGAAGCTTAAAAAGCACGGGTTGACTACCGGATTGCTGCTTTGTGCATACAGATCATCTCAGGATCTTACTGAACCAGCTCCTGGGCTCTGCCCCCAGGGATTCTAGATCTGTTTGACCAGGGTGGGGCCTGCGAATCTGCATTTCTAACAAGCTCCCAGGAGGTGCTGGTGCTGTGTCTGGGAACCACATTTTGATTGGAATCAGTCTAGTTGGCTTGGGGTCTTGGGTTGACCTTTGAACCCTGATGAGGGGGGTCAGTCTGGCTTTCCTCTGCCTGGACTGGAGTCATGGACGTGACAGTGAAGCTATTCCCTGGAACGCCCAGTCTGCAAGGGGGCTGGGCTTGGTGAGCAGACGGTGACCTGGCCTGTTCACTGGGAGGGCCACTGTGGTACTCCAAAGGAGGGAGCGATGACATTGTCCATGGGGCTCTGCAGTAGAGTTGGGCCCTAAAAGGTCTAAGAGGATTTTTACAGAGTTGGCCCATGGCTGGGATCCACCTGAAAGAATGCAGGGACAACAGCTAACCTGGGGATGCCATGTGGGGAAGTATGGCACCTCAGGAAGAACTGGAGAGCAATGTTGGGACATAGGTCTAGAAGGCAATTTGGGGACAAGCTTGTGCAGAGTCTCAAAGGTCATCTTAAGGAGTTTGGATTCTGTCTTAGAACTTTCTGCTCTAAAGACGTTTTAAAGAAGTTTTCATGCCTCATTATACTCACTGTTCTGTTTGTGTGTGCTTTTTTCTCTTTCAGGATTAAGCATGAAAACATTGTCGCTCTGGAGGACATTTACGAAAGCCCCAATCACTTGTACTTGGTCATGCAGCTGTAAGTACCCCCTTTGCCTGAGGAGTGTGGAGGGGGTCTGGGGGGTGGGGATCGAAAACTCAAAGGAGGGGGTGCTGGCCGGTAAAGGAAGCTGAGGTAGCAGGCCAGGTGAGTGGTGGGAGTGGGAGCAGCGACCCGGGAGATGTGGGTGCCCTTCTGGTTGGCGGGCCAGCCACAGGAGTCTGTGGGCCTCGTTGGGTCTGTTTCTGTAGCTGCTGCTCTGGACCAGTGATCGCTCGTCCTCACCGTAGAGCTCCCTGTTGCCACTGCAGGGCGCCTCCCCTCGGAGGTCTCTTTTGCTTTTTCATGCTTGAACTCCAAATGTTGCTTCCTGAAAACACTTCCGTGGGCCCACTGCGAGGGACACAGCCTTCCCGTCTCTAGGAGAAACTCCCACCTTGTCTTCATTTCGAGGGATGCTGGGGGAGGGCAGCAGATGGTGGCTGTGGGCTCTGTCCTTCCAGCTGCTCTGTCGGCACAGAAACGCACATGGCACTGAACTAGAACTCGTGCCAGGCGTGAGACAAGTCTAGTTGGGTCAGACCATGACACCGTCACCCCCAGCAGATGACTTCTGCATTCCAGTAACACCAGAGGTTACCAGAAGAGGGAGGAAATAAGAAAGCTGAATATTCAGGTGGAACCTTGACCCAAACATGTAAGACACATGTAAATGTAACACATAAACTGGTAAATGAAATGAGCCTGCCCTCCCCACTAGTAGGTTTTTGTTTTTGTTTTTCATGAGCATTTTTGTAGGACATTATAGAACATTTTTGTATGAACATTTTAAAAAAGTATCCAGACTAGAAGCACGTGGATGATTTTTCTCTGTCAAGTGACCGTCCTAGGTAGTGACCAATGTAGGAAAATGTTGGGGTTCAAAGACAACAGCCAAGAACGAATTCTCGAGATGTCTTCAGGGCAGAGACGTGGTTTTATTAAAGCACCGGATAGGACCCCTGGGCAGAAAGAGCTGCCCTGGGGTTGTGATGGGTGACCCATTACAGGTTATTTTGGAAACAAGGATTCCAGGACCCTGATGGGGCTGGCTATTGTTAGAAAAAGGTCGTTTATGACTGTTTAGTAGACACTCAGTCATGAGACTCTTCAGATGCATATCGGAGTCATATGCTTGGAGAGTGATTGCCAACATGTATCTTGGTGGAGAGGTGGTAGACACAAGGAAGTTTCCAAAGGAATTTTTTTATGTTAAAATAGACTTCCAGGATCCTGGGGGGTCGGGCTAAGATTACCTCTTGGCCTAAGCAAAGTATTAAGATCCAGGCAGCCGAGTTCCTAGAGGAAGTTCACTCCCTATTCTAAGGACGCATCAGTGGGCTAGAAGTAGTAAGGAAGAATAATTTTTTTTTTTCTTTTGCCTTTGTTTCCTACATCAGTGACCAGTTTTATAGCTTTGGGTGTCAGTGTCACCCATAAGACTGATGGTTTAAGCAGATTTGACTGCTGGTTCTCATTGACTACCTAAATGTCATCTTTCCTGGTTTCTTGCTATACTATTTAATAATTTGTCACACTCTGGTTCCTCCTGAGAGCAGTAGCTCTCCCTAAATTTGGGACGCTCCCTAGAAGCTCACATGACTTTGTTTTATATAGTGTTAAAAAAATTCAACCAAGTAAATATGAAGATCTAGTTGGCTTTATTAAATGATTCACGAGTTGGGCGGGCCTCCCATCTAGCAAGCAGAGAGCTCTGCAGAGCTAACAAAAGAAAGGTTTTTAAAGGCAAAGAGAGAGAATTGAAAAAGGAAAAAAAAAAAAAGCAATTTATTAGCAAGAAATGCATTGTTTAGTCAGGGTTGCCCTCCTAAAGGGAAGAGAAGGGGTTTATCGATAAATTTCCTTGTATTGACCAGGAAATTCTATATTGACTAATTAAAAATTACATTCCTGGGGGATTGAAACTGCCATTAGGTTTTTATTAAGTCTTGGTTTATTAACTTGGGGCCTTAATCTAGGTGGTGCTATTTGGGGGCTGTGGTTTTCCTTTTAACAATAGTCTCCTCTCAAAGAAGCAGCTGAACCACTTTCTCAGCAAATGCTGACTTCCCTGTAGGAACAATATGACATTTTAATGACAAGAAAAAGCCCCACGGAATGTCAGTAGAATATTTAAATATGTGTTTTTATTGGTGATGTAAAAAAAAAAAAAGCATTCGTATTGGAATTCAGGCTATATGTATTCACTTGCTTTAAGTTCTCTGTTTATGGATATGTCGCTAAATAAGTCAGTTGAAATCATCCCCATTACGTAAATCTCAGCTCTTGCCTCTTATGAGCTTGGTGAATTTGGGCACGTAACTGGGCCTCTCTGAGTATCAGTTTCCTTAATGGAAAGAAAGAATAATATTGACATCATCATCATCATAATATTTACATTAGAAGGTTATAGTGAGTTCTGAATGGGAAAAATGTATAAAAAATAAAAATGCATTCAAAATGAAGAGCAGGTTCTCAGTACAGACTGTTTCTTTATGGACATCTGTCTCGTTTCATTAGTGTCTCTGCAGATGGTCTTTCGTTTTGTGAGATGAAGTTCAAGTAGATTTAAATTCTAACTTTCTAAGCAACTTGATTGTGTCCTTACCAGAAGCAGTTTATATAAAGTGAGGTCAGCATGAGAACATAAAAGTGTCCGGGATGGAACGAACCTGGGGACAAAGTCTGGAAGTCTTCTTGGGGCACAGCTGTCCCCATCCCTTTCCTGAGTTTTTCTATCAGAGATTTATCTCTTTTTCTCAGTTATCCTGAAATGTCCTCACATTCGTTCAGAATTTGTAATAACCCAGAGGAGTTGGGCTAGAATTAACTCTTGGGTTACCATATGAGGTTTGTGAGGCAAGGAACTGTTAGTTACAGAATCTGTAACTGTTAGTTACAGAATCCAGATCTAGAGGCAAGGAACATTTAAAATGTCTAAGGAGAACACGACTTACATGTACCCTTGAGAAGTTTAGGGGCGCTATTTACACAAACATTGGATTTGCTAATTTCCAGCTGTTAACTTGTGTATAAATTCTTTCTCCATTAGTTCTCATTCCTTTTTTTAAAAAATCAGCTTTGTCGAGGTATAATTTACATCCAATTAAATGCCCCCATTTGAAGTGAACAATTCAGTGATGAATGTGAGAGTGAATCATACTGGCCAAACCACTGCCATGATCAAAACCAGAAAATTTCCATCACCCCAAAGATCCCTTTTGTCCTTTGATGTGCTCCCTTCCTTACCCCGACCCTGGAGGCAACTACTCAGAGTCATTAGAGATGCTTTTGCATTTTCTAAAATATGAAGTAAATGGAATTATACAGTGGTACACTTTATGTCTCTGGCTTATTTCACTCATCATATTTCTTGACGTTAATTTGTGTGGTGGTACAATCAGTAGTTCATTCTTTTTCACTGCTGAGTAGTATTCCTTTGTTACAACTAGTCCACATTTTATCCATTTGCTGTTGCTGGACGTTTGGATTATTTCCAGTTTGGGGCCATTATGAACAAAGCTGCTATGAACATTCATGGAGAGCCTTGCTGTGGGTGAAGAGCTTGGAGCAGAATGAGTGGGCCATGGAGTAGGGATTAGGTTGAACTTTCTAAGAAACTGTTAGTTTTCCGAAGTGGTTTTACCATTTTATGTTTTTGTCTATAGTGTATGTAAGTTCTTCATACTGTACATTCCTATCAACACTTCAGACTTGTGTTTTCAATTTTAACCATTTTAATGGGTGTATACTCGTATCTCACAGTAGTTTTAATTTGCATTTCCCTGCTGATAATTGATGGTCATCACCTTTTTATATCCTGATGGGCCTTTGGCATATCTTCTTTGGTAAAGTGTCTCTTCAGATCTTTTGCTCACTTTTTATTGGATTGTTTATTGTCATATTATTGGGTCGTTAGTGTTCTTTATCTATTCTATGTTTTGTCAGATACATGTAACATGAATTTTTCTCCCATTGCTTTTTTTGTTTTCTTCATAGAGCTTTTTTAAAAAAAAACTAGCTTTCTTGAAATGTAATCCACATGCCATACAATTCATGCAGTTAAAGTGTACAATTCAGTGGTTTTTGTTTTAGTCACAGGGTTGAACAGTGATCACACAATCTAATTTTAGAACACTTTATGTTCTAAAAGAGGATAACCGAAAGAGATCCATACCCATCAGCAGACTTGCAGTTCTTCCCTCCCCGCCCTCTTACTTTTTGTTCCCATGCGTTTGTCTGTTCTAGATCATATGATGTGTGGTCTTTGGTGACTGTCTTCTTTCATGTGGCTCAATGTTTTCAGGATTTACCCATGTTGTAGCATGTGTTGATACTGCATTCCTTCTTATGGCCAAATAATACCCCATTATATGGATATATCACATTTTACTTATCCATTCATTGGTTGATGGACATTTAGGTAGTTTTTACTTTTCAGCTATTAATGATAAGAATGCTAGACATTTCCATGTGCAAATTTTTGTGTGACCATATGTTTTCATTTCCTTTGGGTGTATACCAAGGAGTGGAATAGCTGGGTCAAAGGGTAACTCGATGTTGAACATTTTGAGGAACTTCTGATCTGTGTTCCAAAGAGACTGCCCCATTTTATGATCTCATGAGCTGTATATCAGAATCCCAACATCTCCACACCCTCTCCAGGACTCGTTTATTATTTTTCTTTCTGTCGATAGCCATCCTTGCGTGTATGAAGCGATGTCTCATTTCAGTTTTGACTTCCCTTTCCCTGTTGACTAATGTACATCATCTTTTCACATGCTTATTGGACACTTGTGTATCTGTTCAAAGAAATATCTATTCAAATATCTTATGCATTTGTAAATTGGGTTGTTTGCCTTTTTTTTTTTTGAGGTGTAAGACTTCTATATATATTCTAGTATAAGTCCCTTCTTAGAGATACATTAGAATATTTTCTCTTTTCCTGTGGGTTGTCCTTTTACTTTCTCAGTGGTGTTCTCAAAGTTTTTAATCTTGAT